GGATGGACAGAGTTAAAGAACAGATAAATTATGATTTGTTGACTAGCAGAACATACTGGAGCAACTGAATGATCTACTGTCATTCCTGTGTTGTTTAGCTGATATCATACATCAATTTAACATTTCCACCTTCCTTTTGTATTCAATATATCCACATATAACATGGGTTTTCAGTTTTTTTGTACCTTACCCTTAAACTTTAAGATCAGTATTCTGCACTTCTGCATCTCTCTGCCCTTCGCCTGGTAGGTGTCAAACTAGTTGAAGACATTGAAAGAGATATTTCAGAATGCTCAGAAGTACATTCCTACTACATATAAAAATTCCAAGGGAGGACCCACCATCTGATTAACTAAAGAAGTTAACAAAAATTTCAAACCCGAGGAAAAAGCGCATAATTACGCAAAGAAGAGTGGCAGATCAGATGTAGTAAGAACTGCCTATGCTGGAGTCTGAGATAAGTGTGGAGCTGGAGGAACACAGCAGGCCAGGCAGCATCAGAGGAGCAGGGAAGCTGACGTTTCGACCCTATCGCAGATCAGATGACTGGTCAAAGTACAGCAGAGAATAAATAACTGCTTAGTCATGACAAATAAATAAGAATGTGAGAGGAAGCTAGATAAAAATGCAAAAGCAGTGTGAGATTGTTAATAGTATGTTCAAGGAAAGTTGTCACAGTCCCAGAGGACAGTAGGGATGCGCTGTCTCATCAGAGAGAGGAGTTTAACCTGAAGATCATCAACTCGGGCAAAGGGTGAGGTTGAGAAGCTAGAACCTTCATGGAAACCTCAGCTGGTGTAGGGATTGAACCATCTGTTGAACATCAGTCTGCATCACAAATCAGCTAATCGACCCCCTGCCAAAGATTTGGTGCAACGGAAAAGAGCAATTGAAGTATGCATTAGTCTCTAGAGTTTAGGAATGAGAAGTTGATTGTAAATGACAAAGGAATGGTGTTGTAATGAATAAATATTTTGCTTCTGCCTTCACTGTAGAACATGCAAACAACATTCCAGTAATTGCTATAAATCAAGAAGGAAGAGATCCTAACAGATATGCCAAATTTCCTTAGCCTCCTGAGGAAGAAAAGGCATTGTTGTGCCTTCTCGACCATCGCATTAAGGTGGGAGGTCCAGGGCAGATTGTTGGCGATCATCACTCCTAGGAACTTGACACTCCTGACCATCTCCACCTCAACTCCATTCATGTAGATAGGGACGTGTTCTCCTCCTTGCTTCCTGAAGTCAATGATCAGCTCTTTAGTTTTGCTGACATTTGGGGAGAGGAAGGAAGGGATGAACTTGGTGAAATTATAATCACTAGGGATATGATACTGAGCAAACTGGAGCTGTGGATTCATAAATGTCCAGTTCCTGAGGGACTTCATCTTAGGGTCTTAAATGAGGTGGCTAATGAGGTAGTAGATACACCGATATTAATTGTCCAAAATTAGTTAAGTTCTGGGATGGTTCTATTAGACTGGAATTTAGCAAATATAACCACTGTATTCAGAAGGCAGAAAACAAAAGTATAGACCTGCTGGCTTGATGTCGAGTGTGGGCAAGATGCTCAATTGTAATCACCAGGAAGATTATAACTGAGCACTTGGAAAATCCCAAGATAATTGAGGAGAGTCAGCAAGTTTTTGTTTGAATGCCCATTAATGTACCTGAATTTCCAAAAGGCATTGGATAAAGTACCGCATTAAAAGAAAAAACACGTTATTGCACAAGGTAAGTGCTCATGACATAGAGAATGATACCCTTGCATGGATAGAAGCTTGGCTGGCTGGCAGAAAACAAGTATTTATAAATAGGTCAAATTAGCAAGATGTGACAAGTGGGGTCTCTGATCAGCTACAACTTTTTACATTTTATGTCAATCGCTTTAATTGAAAGGAGCAAAGTGACTACATTTGCAGATGACATAAGGATGTACACTGAGGTTAAGTGAGTGGGCAAAAATCTGGCAGACGGAGTATAATGTTGGAAAATCACAGCCCCCTGCTGTACTCCCTGTACACTCATGATTCTATGGCCAAATTTCATCCAAACTCTGTAAGTTTGCTGATGACACCACCGTTGTAGGCCAGATATCAAACAATGACGAGACAGAATACAGGAAAGAGAAAGCTTTGCACCATGTCGCCAAGGAAACACACTCCCTAAACGTCAGCAAAACTAAAGAGCTGATCATTGACTTCAGGAAGCAAGGAGGAGAACACGTCCCTATCTACATGAACGGAGTTGAGGTGGAGATGGTCAAGAGTGTTGAGCTCCTAGGAGCTTGACAATCACCAACAATCTGTCCTGGACCTCCCACGTTAATGCGATGGTCAAGAAGGCACAACAATGCCTTTTCTTCCTCCAGGAGGCTAAAGAAATTCGGCATATCTGTTAGGACCCTCTTCAACTTTTACAGATGCACCATAGAAAGCATTGTATCTGGATGCATCGCGACTACACTGCTCTAGGTTGTAAGAAACTACAGAAAGTTGTGAACGCAGCCCAGACCATCGCACTATCCAACCTCCCATCTACACTTCTCGAAGCTTTGGAAAGGCAGTGACTGTCATCAAAGACACCTCCCACCCTGGTTATAACCTCTCCCAATCTCTTCTGTCAGGCAGAAGATACAGAAGCTTAAACACGTACCAACAGGTTCAAGAACCGCTTCTTTCCTGCTGAATGCGCCTCCGAAATTTCCAATCTAATGTCTGTCTCGCATTTTGTGCACCATCTTTGCAGCTGTAACTTTGTATTCCTCGCTTTGTTCAATCCCCCTGTGATCTTGGTATGTCATGATCTACCATAGTGAATGCAAAACAATTTTTTTCACTGCACTTAGGTACATGTGATAATAATAAATCAAATCAAAATGTGAAGGTGTTCCTTTTGGCTGGAAGAATGAAAAAAAAGCAGGGTATTATTTAAACATAGAACACCTGTATAGAATTCCAAAATGCACCAATGTCTAGGTGTTCTGGTGCATGTCACAAAGTTGGTACAGGTACAGGAAACAATTCAGAAGGCCAATGTAATGCTTTTATTATCAGAGGAATTGAACAGATGGTATTCTTTAGTTATACAGGAACCTTGGTGTGTATGGTTTTGGTTTCTTTACAGTTTCAGGAGATCTCCTAAATTGAATGGCAGTGCAGGCTTGAAGGGCTGCTCCTGGCTGTGTTCTTTCCACACGGCCCAGATGTATTTTCCAAATTCCTCATAGTCTGAGGATGCATCCTGTTTAACCAGAGACTCTAGCCTCCTGTATTATACTTTGTAACCCCTAGAAAGGGCACCTATCTCATCACTGACCACACACCAGCTGCTTTTTGAGAGCTTTTTCCTTGGAGGCTGAAAGCGAATCTGCAGTTAGTACAGCTTCTCTTTCTGTGGTTTACAGTTGTGACCATTTCGCACCCACAACTCAGGAAATCATACTGTTACCCCTCTTAAATTATCTGGATTTAAAGAGAGTCTCAAAACATAGTAATCTTTTATAAACTATGCATTTGTAACTGCTTTTAACATCTACTCAGATTGTATTATTTAACATTTTTCTGTAATATCTTGCCTCTATCCAGCCAATTTGCTATCTGATGCAGACTCTTCTGCCTCCTGAAGGAATTGGTGTAAAATTACTTTGAATGCTAAAACCTGCCTATAACTTTTGACAAGCACCCTTTCTTTCTGAAATTGGTTGCCATTGTGACATAAACTTGATGTTGACATTGCATTGACTTGCATGAATAAAAGGAAGTATTGATGATCAGGAATCATGGATCTATTTCTTTTTGCAGTACACAAACAGTACCCCCAACACCACCATGATCTTTGATGACCTGCCATCAATGTTTGGCTACCAGCTGCTAAGGGAGGGGCTACAGGTAGGTTTATTGCTTTCAGTAAAGGATTAGAATTTTAAAACAAAACATTTCTGTAGAGCTTTTCACAACCTCACCATATCACAAAAATGGAAGGGGGAGAGGGGCAACACAGGAGGGATAGGACAGGCAGATTTCTTCATTTGTCTGTTTTGCCTCTCTTCCTTACCTAGTCGCAATCTAACCGTTTCATTTAAACTGTTCATTGAAAGGGAAAATATCATCATCCGTGGTTTATCTTTGAGAGGTTGAGGGCGCAAATTCCACTCCAGAGACAATTCCAAATTTGTGCCTCGGTCAAGGACTTCGGGAGTGCTGCACTGTCAGAGGTGTCTTCTTTTAGTTAACACTTTGAACCAAAGGCCCATTGTAAGTGATGCTTTGGGAAAGAATGAGTGATCTCTGTGCAGTCTGATTGGGAATAGTGCTTTATAAAATGAAGAGAAAATAAGTATATGGAAATTCATTTTAGTTTTGGACTTGAGCCAATTGTAATATTTTTAACTTTACTGAGCACTTCAGCTGTTCTGGTGAGGTTCAGTGGATGCATTTACGCTACTTATACCGCTGATGTGGAAACGTGGCACTGTCACAGCAAAACAATAATGTACCAGGTACCAAAAAGCTCATTCTGTATCTGGTTTCTCCCCCTTTTTTTTTATTTTGCAAAGATGAGCAAGGATGGTTGGATATTCCTTGTATTGTGCGTTGCATCAATACAATAGGGAAGGGAAAAGATACTTGGCTCTTGAAGTTTACTAAAGATATTAAATATTCTACATTCAAGGTTTGGGAGCTGAGAAAAGGGAGAACTTTATTGTTCTTTGCACTAAATTACTGGAGCTTTTCGATAGTTTGTTAATTTCCAAATAAATTGGCAACTTACTCTTCCTGACCTTGAGGTGGTGCTTGGTGTAAGTTAGTCATTTAGCTTGATTTGGGGAGACAAGTACATGTAATTCTCTGATGCAACTGCGGGTGGACAGGCCTTTAATGGAGGCTTTTTAATTAGGAAAGAATTAGACTTTCAACTAAAAGTCACAAGTATTTCTGTTTAAATCCCTGTAGGGTTATTTGGTATTTGCCAAGCCTGATAATGCCTGTGAACCTCTTGCACCACCACCTTCAAACACCACCACCCTTGACTTTATCGTTATGATTCGCAGATATGGATGCAATTTTGACGTCAAGGTCGGTAATATATAAAATTTGAGTAATACCGTTTCCTGGGAAATATTTTGTATTGAACAGCTAAGCATCTGAAATATTTGATTTTATTGTTGCTGATTCATGATAGTCAACTGGACGTGTACACGATGATTAGGATTTGATTTGGCAAAACAAATTTTTAGCAAAGAAAGTAGCAGGGAACTCTCATGTCATTTACATATCACAGAAAAAAGCGTCAAATAGAAAGGTGAGCCCTCACACTCCTGGTCGTCATATTGTCATCCATTTCTTGTGCATGTTATGCTGAAGGTAGAGGATGTAAGCGCTGGGATTAGATTCCTGCAGCAGTCACCTGTTGCCAATGGGGTAGACATTGCTGTGGACACTATCTATCATGATTTGGTGCATCATGTCTATACTGTCTCTGAGGAAGATTGATCCAGTTGCTTACTTGATATGCTACTGTACAGAACCAAGCTCTGTTTGTGACAATGTGTATATATACAAAGATTTTTTTTATGAATGAAGTATATTTTTGAAATGTATGTATGTTTAAGGGATGACTTTGGTTTGTTTGAATAGAGTCAAACTCCAATGTTTTGTTTCCTTGGTATGCTACTGCACAGAACAAAACTGCATTTGTGACTATGTATTTATACAAAGATATTTTAATGAATAAAGTATATTTTTGAAAGAAAAAGTTGATTCCACATCCCAGCTGTTTGCCCACATTCTCTTTTTCTCCTTCCATTATTTAGGCCAATGGAAAAGATTTTACTAAAACTATTTCCACCATCCTATCCAACTTTTCTATTTTCTAGCACTTTTGCCAATCACCTTGAATCTCTGCCCTTTAATTATCAACTATTTAGCACATGGAAAGTGTTTCTCCTGATGTTGTCTAAAGTACAGAGTTCCATCCAATAACCTCCTGATTATCTCTGCCTCAAAGGAAAAGCTCCCAACTTCCCAAGTCAATTTCTATCAATGTATTTCCTTCCTCTTGTTGCAACTCTACTAAATCTTTGCTTCCAAAAGTCACCTCTCCATCAACATTAAATGCGCAGGGCTTTTATTCTCTGGTTTACCCTCTCCCCTTTGTGATCCAATGGTGTAACAATCAACAGTCCTCCAGTTCTCTAACAAATCTCCTCTATCTAAGGGGGATATGGAAGATTATGGCCAACCAGTCCACAATTACAACCCTTACTTCCCTTGGGATGAGGTTAAATGCAGAATTAAACCACCCTCTGCTTTTACACTGAAAGTAAAACTTTCTACTCTTTTAAACTGAATGTAAAAGTTTCTCCAGTCTTTTTTGAACAAAATGTAAAGCTCCTTCTACACTGTTGCCATCAAACACTCCCAGGACAGGTATAGCACAGGCTGAATGATCGAGTAAAGCTGCTTCTATATCCCACTAAGATGTGTCCCATTCTCAGTGGTTGACATACCTACTTTAAGTACTGCCAAGCCTTAGCTATACTTTTTTTATTTTAAATCTATTTTTATCTCAGAAACTGAATTGGGTAACCCTTCCCAACCCTGTTCCCAACCCACATTCTGTCATGCGTGAGGAGTTTCCATGTTATTTGATTGTAAATCAAACAAGAAAAACAAACATGATCATTGAAGCAATCTTATTTAACTTGTCTAACTGCTTAAGGGCCAGCACTAGCGAGAACTACATTGTGTACTTTTGTTGCAGGTGCTTCAGGCACAGCAGGCTGGGTACAAAGCAGCGATCGTGCACAATGTCGATTCGGACCAGCTGCTCAGCATGCACTGGAGCAGTGGTAGGTTCTGAGCCTCCAGAATTCTGAAAGAAATGTTCATTGTTTATTTCTTCATCTCAGGCCTTCCCTTTGGATTGATGATGACTTTCCACTCTGGTTCGATTGATTCTGAGGTGGCTGATTAGTTCAAAGCACAATCAACAGTCTCTGCCATGTGCAGGGCGGGTGGTGCTGCAATGTCAGCCATTTGAGGTGTTTGGAGGTTTGTGTGCTCTCCGACCCCTCAGCTCCACTTCCAACAAAGTGGCTGATTGTGTTTGCCTTCTTGAATAAGTGCCTTTGTTTGGTCAGTCACAAGCCAGGGTGTCTCCATGAAACAGCTCAGATAATCAATCTTTGCAGGGCGGCTTTAAGGATATCCCTAAGGCGTACCTGCCATTCTCCTGAGCGTCTGCTGTTGTGACCAAGTTTACAGTAGCAGAGTCTTTTGGAAGCCAGTTGTCATGTTTAAGAACTGTATGTACTGCCCCAGTGGGGCTTGGTTTGAGTGATGAGCACCTTTTGCTGGAAATGTTAGTTTTGGAGAGGACATTTTTCTTAAACCATCTTTAGTGAGTAAATATTGCTGAATAGTACCCAGTATTGCCCAATAAAAAAAACAGTGCCTAAACTGACTGACTAGTTTATCTTTATCATTTTGGATAAGGGATAAATGTAGGTTCGGGCTTCTGGGAGGAGTGCCTGCCGCTCCTTCAGTAGTCCTGTGTGATTGTTAACATGCATCTAAACAGAAGATGGTGCTGTACTTTATCATCTTGTGGTTATTCCAGTGTGCCTCAGACAGTGAACAATCAGGCTATTTCTAAAGCTATGGTGAGTTGGTGATAAGTATTCAACACTTCAGAGTCTTGGTGAATGACAGAGCAGGCCCAAGGACTGAATGTTTTATGCCTGCTCCAGAATTTTAAATGGTTATTTAAACTTAGTTTCTTATGCCTGAGCCTAGCAAGATTCCTGCCTGAGCTTTGTCTCTGTTAGGAGCTGTTGAATGTGTATTTGCGGTTCCTCACCAAGATCGTATTGCTGCTTTTCATATTGAAAATGAACTCCTTGCAGCTGATTGGGAGGGAAGTGGCTCTACTCTGTAGAAGACTTGTCAGATGACTTGGACAGAATCTATTTCAAATTTATTTCAAAATTGATTGACTAATGTTTCTGTCAATTCTGCAGAGGAGATCAGACATCAAATAACAATCCCATCCGTGTTCATCGGGGTCCGTGCTTCCCAGCTCCTGAAGTCACTGTTCACTTATGACAAAGGGTAGGTAATATCGTGTTACAACATCATTGTAAGCTTCTATAAAAATGATGTAAATATTACATTTTAGGGCATGAATCAAGATCTCATGAACTTCTAAATCCACTTTCAAACCCTAATTAGATATGAATGCTAACTCTAAATCCTGTTTTCAGTAAGCAATGTATGTCCTCGACAACATCTGTCTGCCACTTTAAGGGGGAATAAGAATTTGCTACTGGTGACCCCATGCCATCTCTTCCACTCCCCTCACTCTCCCCAGTTACAACACGCTGGATTTACAAGTCACTTGCCTTTCTGCGTGAGTTGTGCAATGTGCTGAGAGGCTTGTACAAACTTGTGTTTCACATTGAGCTTGGAACTGATGACCTCACAATCACTGATAGCTCCTTTGGTATTATGAGGGAGTTGGGGTTTTCTTCCTGCATCTCTCCTGTCTATTGTGTTAAAAGATGAGCTTATTGGGCTGCAGTGGGTTGTCTTCATGAGAAAACACTCTTGTTGAAATGTGATGTTTGTTTGTATATTAGTTCTAATTGTTTCAGTCATGATTGACGTGTATTTCCCAGAATATCAGAATTGCCTGAATCATTCACCACTCCACACATTTCTCATTGTTCTGTCTATTCACAGTGCATATATTGTACTAATGCCAGACTTCAACTTCCCATTGGGGTATTACCTCATTCCCTTCACCGGTGTGGTTGGAATTGTGATTGTCATTATGATCACTGTCATGGTAAGTGCACAGTGCTGAACATTATCAAAATGTGGTTTACCTCATTGTCATGAAGAGAAAGGCAAAAGGATGTTGAAATTCAGGGATGAAACTGGGGTTGGTTCTATTTTAAAAGGTGTGTCACATGTTTGCCACTAATTGGCAGTCTCTCAGGCAGCAGGGATGCTAGTGGCTAATGTGAGACATGAAAAAATGTTGCCCAGCTCCAATGGGAGGTGCTCCACTGAGCTTGGGGCTAAGTCACTTGGGAAATGGAGAAAGAGAATTTTACTCTATCTAGCATCATGCTGTACCTGTCCTGGCAGGGTTTGATGGGAACAATGTTGAAGGGATTATTTTGTTGTTTTGTGTTGCATGATTCAGATTTCTTTCAATGGACCCAATGGTAACTTCTCAGTGAACACTACTTTGACTCTGTACAGACTGAGCCTATTCACTAGAAATAAAAACCATGTCCATTCCAATTTCAACGGGGGGTGGCGGGGGGGAGATATTTAATTCATTTCATTCCAACATTGAAAGAATATGGGGGAAATTAACCCCATTTTTAGTATTACTCAAATTAATTTCTACCATCTGAGCTCTGAGCTGCCAGCTGCGGTAATAGGTGGGAGGTGTTGAGGTTTGAGAGGACTATGCTGTGTGCTGCAGCCCTCCTCACCCAGCTAGGTGCCATAGTGACTGTCAGAGCATATGGTATCAAATGAGGCCGTGAATTCAAAACTGTATACAGAATGAATTTTCAGCCTTGGGTGTCTCATTCCCTCTTCACCTATTAATGGAAATAAGCTCTGACTGTTTTCCCAGAGTCCAATGCTTCACTCGCCTGCTTAAGAGCCTGGGGAGTTGTTCTGCTTGCTGCCTTCAACCTGTGGAGCTTGTTTTGATTGATCTGTGGGCTGTGTGGTTGAAGAGTGTAATGTTTTCCCAAGCAGGGCTGCTGCCTGAAAATGCTCCTCATGTGTCTATTTTCTCGCTCGCTCGCTCTCTCGCCCTCCCTCCCTCCTCTGAGAATTCTTCACCTTAGTGCAGTTCAGTCAACATGATCTCCCCCTCCCATGCTACTCCCTCCATATCTCATGTGAGAAGCTGTGTATTGCATTTGTGGGCATGGTCTGATGAAGCCACTGTAGATCTCGATGCCTTGTTTGAATGGCCATGCCCATTTTTCAACAAGATTTACTAAATCTGGATTAGCACCACAGACTTCAACTGTTTTTTCTGTCTTTTGCTTACACTAGAGCACTCAGTAACCATACAGTATCATTTGCAACTGAGATTAGCTAACCTCTACACGGGAAAGAGAGCTTGAACTGAGTTTATGCTTCAAATCTGTGTCTCAGTCTTGGCGGTGTGGATTTGTTTGACTTTTATTCTAAAGTGTATGTAGAAGTGTTCTGTTTATTATGTAATAACTAAATTGATCAGGTTTCCCCAAGGCGCTGCTGTATCACATGTTTTTTTTTGAAGGAACCAGATGTTTCTTGCATGTAGAGCCTTTGTGAGCTTGCCCTCTTGACACCGTTATTGGAGAACACAGCATTGTTTTCCTCACTTAAGCTGGCAAAATCCAATTGTAATTGACAATCGCATTTACCGCTCCTTCAACTTCCACTCTCAGATTGCTTGTACAGGATCAATGTCAACTGAGTGCTCAGTGAAATATTTGGGATAAGTTTCCAGTCACTTATTCATAATATCTGTAAATGGAGGGATATGGACCAAGGTCTGGCAGAAAGGATTAGTTTTAATTTGGCATCATGTTTGGCACAACGTTGTGGGCTGAAAGGCCCTTTCCTGTGCTGTATTATTCTACGTTCTATCTAAGACTACCTCTTTTTCACCTTCGTTACATCATTCATCCCTTCCCCACCTCAATTCAAATCATTCATCCCATGTCTTTGTGACCTCTAAACTTGACTATTCCAATGCAGCCAGCTATGACCTTCTTGCAGCAGCAAGCTGTTCAATAAGTATACTTCAAAGCAATTCAAATTGGACATTATATCTTCTGTAATGAAAAATCACATTTCTCAGTTGAGCACTTTACCCTCTTCCTATGTGCATTGAAGCAACAAATCGGAATGTGAACTACATATAACAAGGCAGGGTATACTGCCAAAAGCCTACTACCCAAGGCATTCTATAAATTAACAGTCCCCACTGCATTCTATCAGAAAGGCCAATGACAAGTGGCTATTCCCCATTGCAGATTTGCAATGACTGTCCATTAGTCAAGACCTTGGAAATGTGGCAGTACGTCACATTCAGTGCGGACAACTCTCCACATTGGAAAACCAACATGTTTCAGGCAAATCAAAGAGGTGGTGGTGTACGTGGTGTAGATCTGGCCCATTCCCTGAGCCTGCGCTGCAGCAGTTATCTGAACCGTCTTCTGTTTTATGTAGGGTGAAAGGTGGATTGCGTCCACAGGGATAGCAGACAGTTTTCTCGAGAGAAAGGAAAAATGTACCCAAATGCACCTTTATCCTAATGGCCACCTTTGTGTGTGTGGCTGCACCCGGCTATGCATAGACCCTCAGTACACAAACACCAAGCGTCACAATGTGCTGGGGTTCTGCTTGTTCCCAAGGATGGGTCTGGCCTCATTGCCACAGAACATTGAAAATTGTTGGCCCATTACATTCTACCTGTCCTTCATGGAAAAGTTTGTTGAGAAAATTACCTTAGCCTTGCGGTCAATCAGGTAGTGATCAACATGTAACTTCCTTGAGGCTTTACAGAGAAAGGAGAAGCTTGATCCTGTTGGTGGTTCACTGAACAGACTGTCAAAACCATTTGACAGGATGCCTCAGTGCCAGAATGTTCTAACAAGTGCTGAGATTTCGCATGGCTAGTGGTGAGAGGGGCACTCCCCATCAGAATGTTCTTGCACGCCTAGGCACTTTCTGCCACTGTATTCTCCCTCAAAATAACTGTGGTGGTGAAGAGAATGTTGCACATCTTTTTAAGTATGCCTTTACAAAGAAGGTCTGGAGAGAGATGCTGTGATTTTTTTTGTTGATGTTCATCCCTAGCAGGTGCAGGATGCAGGATCCTGTGCTCTATGGACTATTCTTTGGGAAGTAGCTGAAACAAACATCAGCTGCACCTGGAGGCTGTGATCAATGCTGTAATCTCCATAGACCTGAGGTTATACAAACTTTTCTATCTGTCCCCTAACTTGCACTATTTCCCATTCACCTATTACCCCATTGTTTTCAAATTCTCCCATAACCTTGCCACTCCTTATTTCTGTTAGCTTTTGGAGCCCTACAAACCTGAGATATCTGCATTTCTCTATTTCTGGTCTCTTAATCTTCTCCAGTTCACTTCATTGTTGGTGGCCATTCATTCAGTTTCCTGGGCCCAAAGCTCTGGCATTCCTCTACCTCTCCACCTTGCATCTGCTTTGGAGAGGTGATGGCCTACTGGTATTATCGCTCAACTATTAATCCAGTGACTCGAGTAATGTTCAGAGGATCCAGCTTCAAATCCCACTATGACCGATAGGAAAATTTTGAATTCAGCAGAAATCTGGAATTAATGCTGACTGGGAAACCATTGCCAATTGTTGTAAAAACCCATCTAGTTCACAATGTCCTTTTAGGGAGGGAAATCTGCCATCTTTACCTGATCTGGCCTATTTGTCGCTCCAGACTCTCAGCAATTTTTTAACTGCTCTCTGGGTAATTAAGGATGGGTAATAGATGCTGGACACCCAGCAATACCCACATTCCATGAAAAATTAAAAGAAAAATCCCTTTACTCTAAGACTCTGCTTTAAACTTCCTTCCCTCACTTTTTTGGTCACCTTCATCATTTTTCTTTACTTGGTTTAATTTCCAACATTGCTGCTTCATGCTTTATGAAATACCTTGGGATGTTTCACTGTGCTGAAAGGCATTACACAAAATGCAAGTTTTTGCAGGGACAAGTGCCTCAAGCTGTGAAAGAAATGTTGCAGTCATCAGAGTTTAACAGCATGACATGATTTCCTGCCTCTTCTGTGGCCTGAGGTCTCACTTTATTTTGTGTTATAGATAGTGAGGTGCGTGCAGTATCAGCGCAGAATCCGGACAAACCGGCTGTCAAAGGAGCAACTGAAGAAAATTCCAGTCCATAAATTCAACAAAGGTACGGCCACTGCAAATATTATCACCTGACTCAAATTCAATGAGAATAGAGTAGTTCACATTGGCACTTGGAGGGCACATCGTTGAAGATTGGCAAAAGGCATAGAGTTGGAATCAATTTAAAAAGCCTGATAAGTGAGACCCCCCCCCCCCCCCCACCCACCAGTTTAGTGACTACTGTCGTGTGACTGCATGCCCACCAGGGGGTGCTTTGACACTGTTTACACTTGTGCGTAATAGATACTTCACCAACATGTCCCACACCTCAATGTGAACTCGCCCAGTTACCTTCACAAATTTAGAGACCAAAAATCTGCAGATGCTGGAATCCAAGGTAGACCAACAGGAGGCTGGAAGAACACAGTGAGCCAGGCAGCATCTGGAGGAAAAGAGCAGTCAACGTTTTGGGGTATAACCCTCCTTCAGAACTGGATTGGAAACGTTCACTGCTCCTTTCCTCCAAGTACTGCCTGGCTTGCTGTGTTCTTCCAGCCTCCTGTTTGTCTACCTTCACAAATTTACCCCACTTTCTGTTAGGTTCTAAGTTGTGATCAGGAGCCGTTCCAAAGATTTATTTCTGTTGGTCAAGGAGCTTATTCAGTTGGAGAGACACTGTTGTAATTGATGAAACAGTATCAAAAGCTGCAGAAATCCACTTTTCCAGAGGACATTGTCATACTCCTGGGCAGATTTCTTTTTTAAGCCTCCTACTCTGTCAGGCTTTATCCCCCAAAAATGTATACTTTTAATAAAATTTATTAGCATAGGTTTGATAATTTTCCAATGAAAAACAGACCAGTTTCTTTCAATAAGATGTGGCATTCTGAGGTGCATCTTTACTCTACAATTAAAATTTCTATTTACAGCATATATAGTCAAAAGGGTTTTACATGATTACAAGCTCCTCAATGCACTATGGCAGAATGGTCTACAGTAGGTTTTCCCCCAGCAAATGTTTGCAGTAGGTGCATGAAGCTTTCGTGCATACCTCAGCACATAGTCCTGTGCCTTGGTGTATACCAGTCTACAGCACTTAGTTATGGTCGACTGTTTGCACCCGAATACCACTAAGTTTCAGGCAGGCAAAGAACATCTTCGGCCAAGTTGATGGTTTGAAGAGACATCTTCTCCGCAACTGAGCGTGAGAGTCCAGGTGGCTGTGTTCCTGTCCACTGCCAGGGATTTGAACATCTGCTCTGGGCTAGAGAGGAACTTGAGGTGGGAGGGGGAGGAACCAGTGGTCAGGGTCCACATAGAAAGCAACAACATAGAATTAGAAGGAAGGTTCTGCTGAAGGAGTACAAATAACTAAGGACTAAATTACAAAGAAAAACATAATACTACTTGAGCCATGTGCAAATTGCATAGGGTAAATAAGATTAGAGGAGTGAATGCATGGCCTAAATTTAGAACATTGGTCAGATTGTATTTCAATTGGTAGTCCATGCCTAGTATAACAGAATTAATCTTTCCACAACTGCATTAGCTGTAATTGTCCTCAAAGAAGTAGCTTCTGGAACTATTTCCAAAATTATAAGGATGTACGTGTCCTGCTTTTGTTTTGGGTAATGATCCTGTGCAATCTACTTACACTGAACTGATTGGCTCTTCAGAAATGGATATGCGTATTAAAAGGGCTTGTTTGATTACCTGTTGTGGTTTTCCTACTACCTGACATATATGACATATTTTACAGTACTGCGTTATGAAGTCTTGACGAGGTGAAATGTCTGATTATTGATGCTTAAGTTTTCAGAATTCCTACATGTCCTGCCATAGGACTTTCATATGCTACTCGCAATGTCTCCTCATGATATTTGGTTAGTACAACTCTCTGATGAACATCGTCCATTCTTCACCCACCGGTTTGTCAGTGTCCCCACTTCCAACTCTGTTTTTTAATAGAGTGGACTCTGGAATTCATTCAGCCTCAGCTTCACTGTGAGCTGTTGGTACTAACTTCGCTCCAGATCTACTTTTTGAGCCTCAACTGATAGACTTTCCAAATACTACTTTTGCACAATCTTCATCCTTTTAAGAAAGGTTTTGTCTACTCTTATGTATGCTTCTGGCATTACTTTTGAGTTCTAGTGATGGACTTTGTTTAGCCATTGCACTGGTCACTACACATGATGGAAAATGATGAAAACTTGTTCTTGTAACTTTTTCCTGTCTCTCTTTTTGTCCCATTCATCCTTCCCATGATTGTGTGTGAAGCTGTAACCTTTACTCTTGCCAGATCATTATTTAGAAGTAAGTCAGCTCTATCCAAGGTAACTTCTTAACCACTTCTACTACAACTGCCCCAGACGACAGGTCATGCTCCAATTGCACTGAACTGAGTCGGTGGAGTTGTGGATAGTGCGGAAGGATGTTGCAGGTTACAGAGGGATATAGATAAGCTGCAGAGCTGGGCTGAGAGGTGGCAAATGGAGTTTAATGCGGAAAAGCGTGAGGTGATTCACTTTGGAAGGAGTAACAGGAATACAGAGTACTGGGCTAATGGCAAGATTCTTGGTAGTGTGGATGAGCAGAGAGATCTCGGTGTCCACGTGCATAGATCACTGAAAGTTGCCACCCAGGTTGATAGGGTTGTTAAGAAGGCGTACAGTATGTTAGGTTTTATTGGTAGAGGGATCGAGTTTCGGAGCCGTGAGGTCATGTTGCAGCTGTACAAAATTCTGGTGCGGCCGCACTTGGAGTATTGCGTACAGTTCTGGTCACCGCATTATAGGAAGGATGTGGAAGCATTGGAAAGGGTGCAGAGGAGATTTACCAGGATATTGCCTGGTATGGAGGGAACGTCTTATGAGGAAAGGCTGAGGGACTTGAGGCTGTTTTCGTTAGAGAGAAGAAGGTTAAGAGGTGACTTAATAGAGACATACAAGATGATCAGAGGATTAGATACGGTGGACAGTGAGAGCCTTTTTCCTCGGATGGTGATGGCTAGCACGAGGGGACATAGCTTTAAATTGAGGGATGATAGATATAGGACTGATGTCAGAGGTGTAGGTTCTTTACTCCGAGTAGTAAGGGCGTGGAATGCCCTGCCTGCAACAGTAGTAGACTCACCAACTTTAAGGGCATTTAAATGGTCATTGGATAAACATATGGATGATAATGGAATAATGTAGGTTAGATGGGCTTCAGATTGGTTTCACAGGTTGGCGCAACATCGAGGGCCGAAGGGCCTGTACTGCGCTGTTATGTTCTTTGTTCTATACGTTCCAATTATCCTGTTTGTTAACACTTGGGCTTTCTTTGAACTGTCTAGATGGGAAAGGTGGATGCTTCTCCAGCAAGAGTTATTGAAAGCGATCCATGTATCCTGACATCTTGTTCAAACTTGTGTTCTGCAGAATTTAAATTAACCCAATTGTTGAAATTCTGGTTTGGGGAGGCATTGTTGAAAGCTAACTGCAGGTGGAGCTCATGCATTGCACAGCAAGACCTCCAAAAAGAATTTGATGCTGTTGTGCTGTCTGTGCCACTCCCATACCAACTGCTTTTTGTTATTTAGAATTTTTTAAACTTTGTTTTGTACCGCAAGGATTCCCCATTATAAAGAAATGTTTGTGTAGGATTCGAGAGTAAATGACCAGCTATGTGAAGGACACTGATCTCGCTTGTTACTTCCTCTTAATTATGAATGTGCTGACTCTCGCTAGATTCAGCTCAATGAGTGGTAGCAATTCTAATACTTAACCCAATTGGTTTCAATTTAGGTATGAGCATGGACAGGGAATGTCTGTCATTATACTGTTCATTTTGGAGGAACATGATGCTAATCTGTGATGCCAACGCAACCTAGGTAGAAGCTATGCAGACACTCGGGTTGAACAAAAGCTCAAGCCTGAGGTGTCTCCTTCTCCTCCTCAGGGCACAGGCCCTGAAGCCAGATTCAAGGCCTGCTAAAATCTGTTAACACAGCATTGATTAGGGATAGAGACACCCACTCTGTAAATATGCTAAGGAGGTGTGGTGAAAACCTTCTACTTATTGTTCACTTTTTTTCAAAGCTGTCTGTAGAGTTCAATAGTTTTGAAGCTTGTTGGTGTATTAAAAATCATTAAGGCTGTCGGTGATTTCTTCTTACAGCCGGAAGCGCTTGCAGCAAACACTTGGGGTGCAGTCACCATTCATTTACATACTAGAGATCTTCGGAAAACTGTGTATGACAGAAAACTTAATTATTGATTAACCAATCTTTTCTGCCCTGATTACATGACTGTCCTCCCGCAGAGGCCCAGGTTGAAATCTCCGGTCTCGATCATTTGTTGCACTTTATTAGAATTTGTAGCCAGTGAAAGGGAAGGACTGCAATTATAGTTAGGGGAAAAAAACACTGCACATAAAACTTCGACAGTATTGCTGCTGGGTCCCTCCAACGTTTGCTGAGCTGTATTAGCCTATAGTTCTCAACATATCCATAACTAAAAGAGTAAATGTGATGGAAAAGATATACATGGAAGGGTAATTCGTATTTGAAGCCTGAATTTTGGACTATCTTAGAATCATAGAATTGTTGCAGTCTTGAAAGAGGCAATCTGGACTGCCACATCTTGCACTCCAAATGAGCATTGTGACTTGGAGCCATTCTCCTGGCCGCCTGCTGTGGTCCTGTATATTATTTCAATACAATGAACCATTCAATGCCCTCTTTAATACCTGGATTGAACCTGTCTCCACCACACTTCCAGACCTAAACCAGGTGCTGTGTTCGGAAGTGTTCTTCTCACTTTGCAGTCATTCCTTCTACAAATCATTAAGTCTATGCCTTCTCTTCCTTTTACAAATGGAGACAGTTTCTCTCTGTAAACCCAAACCCCTTATATTTTAAAAATATATCAAGTTCCCTGTTAATTGTTTCAACTTCTGCAGTGTATTTTCATAACTGCAGCTTCTCATCCCTGGCACGTTTCTTATAAGCCTCCCCTGCACTCTCCAATGCATTTGTACCCTTCATAAAGTACATATGCAGCAATGGCCTACTCTTCCTTGCCTTGTGTACTTTATGTGCACATGCACTCGTGCTATATTGCTGTTGACTTGACCTGTGAGCTTCACAATATCTCTACACGAAAAACACAGTTGATTTCTTCAGATCCCAGATTCATACTTGGTCTGTTCCATGTTAACTGACCTGTGCTAAAATAGCAGTTTGTGCAAATGTCATTGGCTTTGTATCTGATTTGAAAATCTTTCTCCTGTCTTCCTGAAATAGATGTGTATTGTAATGAATGACAATAAGATTAGGTTCAGCTGTTGGAATATCTGATGATACTCCTCATCAAGGCTTACATCAGCAGAATGACAACTGAGGGGAAGTACAAGTAAGCAGCACTGTCAATAGAACCAGTATCCTGAAACCTTCAAGAGAAATGACAAGATAACTAAAAATAAAGATAAGCTTTAAAAATAAGCTTTAGTTAGAGCGTAAAGCATAGCGTTTAAAAATATTGCTGAAGAAACATTGTGTGGTGAAAGGATCTCTGGACCAACATTATTCAAAATGAGAAGGTGCTGCATTGGTATACTGAGTGGAAACTTTTTTTTTGGATGGAAACTTTATAGCTATTTGACTCACTAGCAGACTCAGCTACTGATGTGCAAAATTTACTTTCAAAACCTGAGTATCGGTATGTCAGGCGAGTGGTTGTGGTGAAGGTACTTATCAGTTTAGATGCTTCCTGTTTGCGTCAGTGTGCTCACTTCCCAGTAATCACATTCTGCAAAGTGAGGTTAATGTCTTTTTATCGAGTTTGAGAGTGGGAAATTGAGCTCAAGTACAAAATTAGGTGATAACTGATTTGGTTTAAAAGGTGGAAGAACCTATTGTGGTGTGGATCCATCAATAAGGCTAGTTGTGCGAATGTTTTCAATTTTTCATATTAAAGCCATGTCAACTGTGGCACAGTGGGTAGCATTCACACCATTGAGTCAAATGGATTCAAACCCTACTCCAAAGACTTGAGCATTGTTGGACTGTCAGGGGTGCTGTCTTTTGAATGAAACATTCAACTGACAGATTCATAAAGCGTAAAAAAGGCCCTTCAGCCCATTGGGTCTGCACCAACATAACTACCTCAAAGTGCTCAAATCCCAATTTCCTGCACTTGTTCCTTTCTTTGAATTTTATATTTGAAGTACTCATCTACATTTTTTTCTAAAAAGGTTGTAAGATTTCTGGCCTCCATGACGTTCCCAAGCAGTGCATTCCAGATGCCCACCACTTGCTGAGTGGAAAAAGTTTTTTTTTCTCCAAACCCCTCTGAGTCTCTCGCCCCTTACTTTAAATGTATGTCCTCTCGTGATTGACCCCTCGACCAAGGGGAACAGCAACTCTCTTCACCCTTCCATATCCCTCATTATCATATACACATCAATCATACCCCCCTTCAGTCTTTCCTTCTCTAAAGAAAACAATTGTCTCTCTTCACAGCTCAATAACTCCATCCACGCAAAATTCTGGTGAACCTCCTCTGTACCCCCTCTAGTGCTATCGCTTCCTTCTTGTAGTGAGGTGATCAGAACTGCAAACAGTACGCCAGTTGTGGCCTCGCCAATGCTCTGTACAATACCAACATTACCTCCCTGCTCTTATAGTCTACACTGCAACTGATGAAAGCAGGTGTCCCATATGCCGCCTTAACTATCCTATTTCCATGCTGTGCTGACTTCAGGGATCAGTGAATAATTAATTACCCCAAGATCCCTCTGTTTCTCTAAGCTACCCAGTGTCCTGCCATTTACTAAATACTCCCTCATCTTGTAATGCACTTTGGAAGAAGAAACATCACACTCGGGGTTAAATACCATCTGCCGTTGGTCTGGCTATCTGACCAACCCATCTATATCTTCCTGTAACTTAGAACCATCTGCTTCACTGTTAACCACCCTGCCAAACTTGGTGTCGTCTGCAAATTTCTTAACATTCCCATCGATCTCATTTATCTAAATAACAAACATTAAGGATCCAGTACTGATCCTTGTGGTATACATCTGGAACTCGGCCTCCAGTGACTTAAACAGCCTCTACAACTACCCTTTGTGTCTTATTAGTAAGCTAGTTTCTGATTCAAGTTTCCCTCAAATCCATGTGCTTTAGCCTTGTCAATAAGTCTCCCATGTGTATCCTTGTCAAAAGCTTTGCTAAAATCCATATAATCTATATCAACTGAACTTCCCCCATCTACATTTGATTACGTTTTCAAAAAACTCTAAAAGATATTTTGGGCATGACCTTCTGACAAAGCCACACTGATTATCCCTAATTTACCCATGCCTTTCTAAGTGAGTATTAATTTGCTCCTTCAGAATATTCTCCAATAGTTTCTCTGCTGCTGACTTGAGACTCATTGGTCTGTAATTTCCTGGTTCATCTCTACCACCCTTCTTAAAAATGCCATCCTCGGAGCCCCTACAGTTTCCTGCCTCACCTTCCACAGCAACCTGGGATGGAGTTCATCCAGGCCCAGCGGATTTGTCTGTTTTTAAGCCTGACAGAGCCTTCAATACCTCCCCATTTCCCATGTCAAACTGTGCAAGTTCCTCTCAGTCCCTTTTTCTGAATTCAGTACCTACGTTCTCCTTTTCCAGACTGAAGACCGAAGCGAAGAACTCGTCAATTCCCTTCCAATGTCCAGCGGCTTCACACACAGGTTGCACCATTGGTAATGATCCGTACTGTCTTCCTGGTTAATCTATTCCTCTTAATGTATTTATAAAATATCAAGATTCTCTCTAAACCTGTTTGCAAGTCTTTTCTCATACCTTTTTTTTTCCACGCTTCTACTTGCTTTCTTACGTTCCCTCTTGCACTTTCTGTATTCCTGTAGGGCTGCAGCTGAATTGCTCCCTTTGGACTTGCTAAAAGCCCTACTCCTCTTCCTTGTCCAGTCCTGAATTGTCCTAGACATCTTGGATTTTCTAAACTTTTATTGTTCCTACGTTTCCCTCTAAAGGAACAAGAACAGAAGTTGCTGGAAAAGCTCAGCAGGTCTGGCAGAATGGTTCTGAGGAAGGGTCACCAGACCTGAAACGTTAACTCTGATTTTTTTTTTTTCTTCACATGCTGCCAGACCTGCTGAGCTTTTCCAGCAACTTCTGATCTTGTTCTTGTTCCTGATTTACAGCATCTGCAATTCTTTCAGTTCTTATTTAGTACTGTAGTCTCCCAGCTCCTTGAATGCCTCATACCTCCATACCCCACCTTTGCTCTGCTGTAGACATACCCACAAGGAGTTGTTCCCAGTCAACTGTGGCCAGATTCTGTTTTATTTTAATACAATCTGCCTTCCCGCAATCAAAGCCATCTTTTGCAGGCCAACTTTTTCCTTGTCCGGAACAAATTTGTTCCGGACAATGTTGTGGTCGCTATTACCTAATTGATCGCCCACTACCACATCAAGCACTTGTCCGTCTTCGTTCCCCAGAATCAGATCCAACACTGCGTCGTCCCATGTTGAGCCTTCTATGAATTGATACAAAAAAGTTCCCCTGGATAGATTAGTGAAATCTGCCCCAATTAAACTCTTCACACTGACTATCCCAATCTATGTTGGGAAAATTGAAATCCAGTAATATAATTACCCAATTATTATGCTTACACACTTCTGTGAACCGTCTACATATTTCCTCCTCTCTATCCCAAATGCTGTTTAGGGGCTTATAATACACTTGCAGTAAAGTAGCTGCCCCCTTAACATTCCTAAGTTCTAAGCAAAAAGCCTTTACCGTGGAATATTGAGTTGCCGGTCCAGCCCTGTCCTTAACTATGTTTCTGTGATGGCAACAATATCATACTTCCATGTGTCAGTCCACACCATTAACTCATCAGTCTTGCCTATTACACTCCTAGCATTAAAGACCACCTTACTGTACTCTCTTGACACTCAACATTGCTGAACTCACTGTGACTTGCTTCCTTTGTAGCATGATGTGTCTCTGTTTAATCAATATTGTATCCCCTCCTGCCAGACTTGTTTAAACTCTTCCCAACAGCACTAGCAAATTTTCCTGCAAGCATGTTGGTCCCAGTGTGGTTCAGGTGCAGACCTCCCCATTGTACATGACCCACCTTCCCCAGATGTCCTTTAGGAAAGGAAACTGCCATCCTTACCTGGTCTGGCCTACATGTGACTCCAGCCCTACAACAACGTGGTTGACTCTTAATTGCCCTCTGGGCAATTAGGGATGGGTAACAAATGCTGCCTACCCAGCAATGCCCTCATCCTGTGAATGAATCAAGGAATAAAGGAAAAACAGACTCAGTGATCCAGGAATCTAAAACCCACCCTTTGGCGCCAAGTCTTGAGTCAGGCATTCACCTGTGCTACTTTACTATTTCTAAACTCGCTAGCATATGACACCAGGAGTAATCCAGAGATTACAACCATTCAGGTCCTGCTTTTTAATCTACTGCCTAGCTCCCTGAATTCTCGATGTAAGACCTCATTCCTCACTTTACCCGTATCATTGGTACCACCATGTACCTCAACCTGTCATTCATCACCCATCCCTTTGAGGTGGACGTAAAAGATCCAACAGTCACTGTTCTTTTGAAGAAAGAACAATGAGGTTCTCCGCAGTGACCCGATGCCAGTTTTTTATTCCTTATCCAAATTTGCTAAAACAGATTATTTACTGTTTACCACATTTCTGCCTGTGGGATCTTGCTATACACAGATTGGCTGCCATGTTTTAAAAATTGCTGAGTGACTACATTTTTAAAAATATTTTATTGTCTGTAAAGTGGCTTGAGGAATTGAACAGTGTTGTATAAAATGCAATCTTACTTGTTTAACACATTCATATGAAGCTTTTAATCAGCACAATTGCTAAACTAGATTTACTTTTACATCAGTTCCCCTCTGAATATAGTTCAAAGCAATGTGGAATGCAGATATCTAAATTGCTTGACTTTGGGGTGGGGTGAAGCATGGTCCTTCCAACATGTGATATGTCCTGCTCTCTTTTTCACAGTAAGCTGTCCCCACTGCATTCTTTGGCCTATGCAAATTAATCAGCTTCAGGCTGCCAGTGAAGTCAGCTACTTGTATTCAAGCAAAGAGCGTACCTTCTGCTCCAGCATGGTTCAATGCTATGCTAAAGTGAGGCCATTTTCATGTTGGGAAAGTTAAAAGCAAAGATACAGACCATACGGATAGTATACAGCAGTATGCAACATCCCATAATTTAGATTGCCAGTAGGGCTCTTATTAGTGAGGTAATGCAGGAATGTAAGACAGATACAAGACACAGTGCAGCTGGTTCGATGCCGTGTAATTCTGTATTATCAAGGTGTCTGTCTTGTACACTTTGTTTGTACACCTTGTTTCAAGAGTTCCAGTTTCTTGTCACTGAATACCATGCACCATCAGTGCTTGACAACACCCAGCAGAATTATCCAACAAATTATTCAGGGTCTGAGGAAGGGTCTGCAGACCCAGAACATTAACTCTGATTTCTGTTCAGATGCTGCCAGACCTGCTGAGCTTTTCCAGAAACATCTGTTTTTGTTTATGATTTACAGCATCTGCAGTTCTTTTGGTTTTTACATTATTCAGCTTTTACAGCAAAGGCTATTTAACAGCTCCTCCACCAGGGAGATTGCATTATGTAAGTAATGTCATCCTCCAGTGTTGCTGCTGGTTATAATACGTGGCTGATTGTTGATTGTTCCACTTTGCAATCACGAGGCCAGGATGCTTTCCACATTAAGGTTTGGCAGTGAGATATTGCTTACAAATAAACTGGGAAGAAAAGCATATCAAATGGCAATAAGAGGGATGGAAAAGGAGGAAGAAATTCTCAAAGTTGTCAGAATATTACAGTTCTGGGAGGTTTCTGAGAAAAGTGAGGAAGGAGATGTAGTAAGTTCTGTGATGACTGTGCTGTATCCAGTGCCACAGTCAAATGGAGTGAAGTGAATTGAATCAGCTAAAGACCCGCATGCTAGGGATCTCCAGAGTCCACCAAGATGGGGCAGCCAGTTGGCACTTTAGCTGCAGACTGTTACAAATGCTGCAGCTTTATTTTTTGCACTGAGGTGCTGAAATCCTCGACCATTGAGGTTGGAGATATTTGTGTTACCTCCTCTCCCAGTGAGCTTCATTTGTCTACAGACTGAGGAGTAAAAGGATGTTGAAAAATCATGAGTTTAGACAATATTTAAATTCATTTATCAGTCCTTTCCAGTTCCCTGTAGATTGGTGTTGCAGTCATTTCTGTCTGTTTTTAATTCAGCTTCCCCTTGAATTTCTTAAAAAAAAACAAGAAGTGTTTACTTCTCCTTCCTCTGTTGCAGCACTGATGGAAAGGAAGTGGTTAAGTTGCTTTGTTTCTTGCTTTGCATTTGCAGAGTCGCAGAGCTCTGCAAACTCAGTTCCTCTCAGAATGGTGACTAAAAGTTAAGTACAATGCTGCTAAAACAGAGCGTTTAATCATTTTTTTTGCTAGTGCTCTCAATATTCTGCCTTAATAGACATTCTTAAACAGTTGTAATAGCCAGCAGCGATAGAGAAATAGTCATGCTTTCCATCGACTTCTAACATAGCCCCACCCACTTCAAACTGCTCTCCTTTTTGATACCTGCGGGAAATGGTTACATACGCCCTGACTGCCCTCACCACTTCTTGCAAAGACAATACATTTCTACAGGGCATCTGATCATGAAAGACAGATTCCAGCCTCGGCCTGGCAGCCACAGTGCACTGAAAAATAACAGGGAATGTCAGATATTCTCCCCACCCCTCCTCTCTCCCCTAATACCCCACCAAAAGCAAGGACTATAAACCAGTGCTGTCAGCATACCTAACTTTGTATTAAGGAGACCTTGCTGCTTTGAGTAAAGGGACCCAACCCTGAAGAGATTGGGACCTTCCTGCTGTATCCTTACTTAGTCTGGCCTACATGTGTCAATAGCCTCATAGCAATATGGTTGACTGTTAAATGGCCTAGAACAGCGCTTTGTCTATCAAACTGCATCAGAAAAGTTACGGAGGAATAAAACTGAACACATGCCCAGTGACAGCAGTTGAGATGGAGTTGCCCTAGTCGTCCCCAATATTGATTCCAGGATCCCTGAAGTGTCATATGTCCATACAAATTTGGAATATGAGTAGGCAACCCAGTCCCTCAAGCCTGCTCACCGTTCAATAAAATCATGGCTGATTGGATCACTCTACTTTCCCTCTTACCCCGAAACCTCTGCCTTTAAAAATACTCCAGAACACAGCTCCACAATAATTTTAAGATGAGTGTTTCAAAGACTTGTGACCCTCTGATTTTTCTAGCTTGGATGTATGTGAACATCACTCAGGATTGTTGCTGTCCCTTTATCAGAAGCGCCTGATATTTAGTTTTGTATACTTTGCCCTGTATTGTAGTTACCAATAAGGAACCCAAAGACCACCCTACTGTTTCTCATCTTCACCTAAACCAGTCAGCCCATTTCGATGAAGGGTCACTTTGTTTCTTTCTCCACAGATGCTGCCAGACCTACTGAGTTTCTTTAGAACTTTCTGCTTTTATTTCAGATCTCCAGCATCTGCAATTCTTTTTAAGAAAGAGCCTCCAGTCTGCTAGACAGTTACCAAGGCTGAGCCTCTTGCATGCCTGCCTTCTGAGTCCCCTTGCAT